TAGCTTTGTTAATTACAGAGTGATCTCTGCTTATTTATTTGAAAATAAATATATTATTAGGGTATTCAGAAAATAATTAAGCGCTTAGGAAAATACATATCGGGGAATTTTGAATCAATTAACCATAGCAGAGCCGAGGTTGAATGACACGAAATTGCGCAGACAATGAGTTTATCATCTCTTTTATTCGATAGATCAATAATTGATCAACGCCTATAATAGAACAAATACTAAACATATATCATAAGTCTTTGAAGCATTTTCATCTTAATATAGTAACCCTTCTATTCAATAACATCAAGTTATTCATTATCCACTGCTTTTGTTAATTTTTTTTTTTTACTTCAGCTGTTTCAATTTTCGACATGGTGGTTTTAATTGCCTGACATATTGTTTGTCACCTTCATATAATTTCATCCATACAATTGACCATAGATTTTCGATCGGATTCAGATCTGGAGTTGATGATCGTCACTTCATTATCTACTCACCTGTAAATCTTTAACGCTCAAAAAATTCACTCGTAACCTTAGATATATGAGAAGAATCATTTTTACGCATAAATGCACACATCAATTTGAAACTGTGTTTAGTATTCAAAGAAAGCTTTGTCGATGAAATCACAATAGCACAGTTCCGTTTAACCTCTTCATCGTCTTTGAATGATTCAATAATATTTTGGTCACCAATTCCAGTCCATATCTTCACAGTTCTGTCTCTTGCTGTCTTCTTTTAACCATAGGCACATCTGCATCAGATAAAATCCATTCTTTGGTTCATCCATTATGTCCATCTAGTGTTACCCGAGATTCGTACGTGAACATTAATTTAGAAACGTCAATTTTTATGTATTTCTTGGCCCAATTTTGCCGCTTTAAAATATTTCCTTTACATTGAGGAATTTGCCTTGGAGATTTCTTGACAGATTCCAATTTGTGACACCTTTTGTCTTTAACTCCCTCAATACCAACCTGTTCAAAGATCTGAGCACTGGCTAAAAGTGATTGTTTCACTATAACTAGCTTTAGTTTAAATTCCCCTCGAGGAGAATGCCTTTTCATTTGATTCTATGTCAGTGGAAAGCCTGACCGGGAGAGAGTGCAATGAATCGCTCCCCTGAAAGTTAGCAACATCCATACGGATGGAAGAAAAAATAGTTCTTTAAGATGACTAAAAAACAGCAGTTTTCGTTTTGAAATTCACAAGCTATTTCTTGCCCAAGTTAACAACAATTTACTTAGTTATATTTTCAACAGCCCTCTTTATCGTTAGATAATCTCTGCAAAGCTCCTTTAATATCACCAATGTAGACATCCCCACACTCAATAAGTTTATTTTCTGTTTTTCAGTATTTGTTAGATCCTTTCCATTACACGTGTTTCAACATATATTATGGAAAAAAAGAAAAAATATTTTTTCTTAGGTTTCAGAGGCTTTAAGCTAATATTAGTTTAATCTGTATAATAACCTTAGACAGCAGTTTTTTAAAAATAATAAATCCAGTAACTTTAATAAAATATGTTGAAACTACATAAAAACGAACTCAAGTTTTATTTTGACGTCTAAATTAATCGTTTAAAATTTGGCAAAAATTGTTTAATTCGAGTTATTGAGGTTTATGTGATTTGCATAACTTCGGCGGGACTGTATTCACCATTGCTTCCTGCATCGGTTCCGAAAGGATAATAAATCTACAGTCATTTAAAAACATTTTTCATTTAAAAACATTTGTGCAGTGTATACAAATGGATTTTGCCGGTCAATAGAAATCGAAAAAGTGTTTATCACAAAACGAGAAGCAAGTAACAACGCTAGAACCAGGATTGCATCCACAGAAAATCTTGCTTCGTTTCTGGTAGAATATTTATAGGCGAGCTATTGGGACATTTTGGGACCGCCACTGTAGACGTTAATTGCCAGCAGCTTGATCAGGTAGACAAAACATTACGTCAAAAGTCGGTGAACATCAAATGGGTTATTTTCCAACATGATCGTACAAAGACTCACTCTGCTAAACAAACTCATCAAAAATAAGATTGTTAGAATGTGAGGTTCTTCCACACTGACAAGATTTAGATCATTAGACCATTTCTTAACTGGCAGAGTATTTAATCACAAAGAAGCATTTCTTTAATTGAAAACAGAGTTTCTGGAAAAATAAAAACAGATTTCTTTAAACTTGGTAAACTTCATCCAGCAACAAATGATCTGATCGGGAGATTGGAGGTTTTGAAAGGTGCGGAACCCCCTCTTAATTGTTGTTGTTCCAAGGTCCACCCTAACCCGATGTGGTAGCACCTGTTAGGGTCCCAGCTTTGGGCAAATAGTGAACTCACAAAGAAAAAAAAACACTATGAAAGTATAAAAATACATATTTATAGTAAATTGACGAACAATACATTTTATAGCAAAATGACCAACAGTAGATTTTATAGCAAAATGACTAACAATACATTTTCTCTGTAGTTGAAAGCATGTAATTGCGTTCAAAATATTTACATTTCGGCATTAAATAACCCATAGATGTGTTGATATGCCGGAAAACAAAATCAACCAATCAATCAAACTTTAAACTTCGAATCAAAATATATATCTTCTCGTTGTACTGAAGGGCGGATTCTCTTTCGGGGAGGTAAACCGACCCTGAACCCGTTTATACGGGTTCAATGGGTATATTTTGGCCGAGTCCACGGGCTCGGAGACCCCACGGGCTCGGAGACCCCACGGGCTCGGAGATCCAACGTTAAACCGACCTTGTGCCACATGATGCCCTCGTGGTCAGTCAGTCGATGCCGGACGACGGTTAGTCGGATATTAAAGTATCAGCCACCACAACTAGATTTCTCTGCGTCATGACCTTTTATATCAAGTTGCTAACGTTTTGTACGTCGAACCTGTTTTAGGACCGACTTAGTACAAATACAAGCCTCCACTGTGAAACTACTCTACAACACATACCAAGCAATGAGATGACGTCACTAAGACGCGGTTACTGAGAGTGAAAGAAAATGAGAAAACGTTAGTGAGGAGAAATGACAAAAAAAAAAAAAAAGAAAAAAAAGAAAAGAACAGTATCCAGAAAGACCTACTGATGCTGCATTTACATTTTTAAAACTCTTAATTGACAGGAAGGCAGGTAGCCAGAAGAGAGTGTCACAATCGAAGAGAATAAATTATTAGAATAGAATTCAACAGTGTAATGATGTAACCTAGTTGCCAATCTAATACTATGCTTAAATCCATGAGGTCGAGATACCAGAGATGACAGATCAGCACCAATAACATTACAGACCCGGCTTTGGATTTTGTCAAGAATCTCGAGGTGTATAGCAGGAACAACTGAGCAGACGTAGCAGCAATAGTCAATGCACGGTAGATTTATAAACGAAACAACTTTCATAGCAGAAGACTTAGCAATTGATTCAATCAATCCACTTCATGTTGATTATAATCAATCCACTTCATGTTAGTGGAAAGCCTGACCGCGAGAGAGTGCAATGAGTCGCTCCCCTGAAAGTTAGCAACAGCCATACGGATGGAAATAAAAATAGTTCTTCAAGATGACTAAAAAAAAACAGCAGTTTCGTTTTGAAGGCGTTAAAATTCACAAGTTATTTCTTGCTCTAGTTAACAACAGACTGAAGTTAATTTTCGAGATCAGCTGCCTATTTTACTTTGTCAAACCCATCGGACCTTCTATTAAGATAGGACTAAATAGTTTTCAGCAGCATAGTAAGAGAAAGGAAATGTCATTGATGAAGATAAGAAACAAAATAGGTCCAAGGATGGAGCTCTGGGGGGACACCCATATTAATGTGAAAGGATCTAGAAGAGTGGCCATTCAAGACATCTTTCATATCTTATGTCTTATTGTTATGGAAATCTTCGAATTTTGAAAATTTCTGACGATCATCTTCATTCTCAGAAAATTCGAAAAGCGTTTCATCTTTTGCATTATACAGAGCATTAATAATATCGCTTTTCTTGAAAGAGATGATAATTTAATAACTCATATTTTTTTTTAAATACTAGAGTTCACTCAATGCACGGCTGGCGAGTTCTTCATGGTAGAGAGCTACTACTAAAATGGTTATGATGATTGACATGTGTGATATGAATGAGCGAAGGTGGGGTAGAAAGCGAAAATTATGAGGATAAAGTGACTATACATATGCGGTTGTTTTTTTTTGTTTTTGTTTAGCGGCATATCAACACTTCTGTGGGTTATTTAATGTCGAAATCTGAATTTGAAAATTCAAACTTTATAATTAATTCAAGATAATGATATTATTTCCTGATTAAATTATAATTACTTCGCTGCATTTTCTACCAAATTATCTTAGAAAATCAAATGAGAAGTGAAACGTGTGTCTCCTTACAAGAAAAGAGATTAATCATAGCAAATTGTTTTTTTTAATTAAAAAAAATCACAATGTATGCCATGTCTTCAATTTTGCTATAAAATCTACTGTTGGCAAATTTTATATAAAAATGTATTACTGTCATTTATACTATAAAAGATATTTTTATACTTTCGTAGTGTTTTGATTTTTGTTTGGAGGGTTCATTATTTGCCCATAGCTGTGACCCTAACAGGTGCTACCACCCTGGGTCGGTGTGGACCTGGAAACATCAGCAATTAAGTGGTGGTTCCGCACTCCTCAAAACCTCCAATCTGCCGATCAGAGGCCTTGCTGCCGGAGATAGTTTATCGTCAAACCTAGGAATACTCATTGGAGTGTTACTCCTCTACAGAGTTGCAGTCGGCTTATTCTACAGCCCCAGGCAATAGGACTTGTACATATACGTGAGTATCGAGCTAGAATCTAATGATCCCATATTCAGATAGTTCCATTGTTCCACCATTTTTCTCGCCAGAATCTATTTTACACATTTATAATTCTACGTGCATTGAACATTATGAACATATCTAGTCTGGTGTTACTGTTTTATATTTAGAAATTCTTTCCTACCAACAGCTTTCCTGTCAACTACGTTCTTCAAAAATTTAAATGCAAGGCTGAAGAGAGAGAGAGAGAGAGAGAGAGAGAGAGAGAGAGAGAGAGAGAGAGAGAGAGAGTTACTGTTAAAATGGTTATAGTGAATGAAATGCGTGATAGGAATGAAAGCGTATACGGTAGGAAGTGAAGATTATGAGAGTAAGGTGACTAAACATATATGTGAGTTGTAGGTATCTAATGACCACATATTCAAGTAGTTCCACTGCCATGGTAATTTGACGCAAATATGACCAAACTTTTTCCCTCAAAAAAGTAAAGCTCAAAACTTATCTGGCGGTTATAATACATAATGCTGATGCATTTTTTTACTAAATTTATTTTCCTGTTGCCCTAGTTTCGTGTTTTGTGCATTTTCCTTTCTTTAATATAGCTACATGTTTCAATATTGAGGTTGAGTAGTATTGATCCCAATCAGTGGGTGAATTCTAGGTACTATAACCTTAAATCAGAAAGATTAGTCTGGGAGGACAGTCCATATAAGAGAAGAAAAAAATACTGTGATTCCAAACCCCCGCCGCATTGCAGCCATACACGAATCATGGAATGGCCTCGGGAGTAAACCATTAGGATAAAATTTGGAGCTAGTGTTCCAAAGGCAATTCGACGTTGTATTCAGTCTGGTTGTGTCAAGTGTTGCGTCGCGAGCTGTATCACCCACTGTCCTTCTCTTGGACAAAGTAGATGGCATGCAGTTAAGATGTGCTCTTTGGGAAACAGTCGATCTCTCATACAAGAAACAGAAGAAGCAGTAGACACCGGTTTTAGGCTTTCGCTAGATTGCTAGAACAATTTCTCGCCTGCCATTACCGGCTAAATTGAAAAACAAATAAAGGCAGCAACAACAAAAAACAAAATAAAAAACCTAAACAAACAAAAAATCAAACGCAAAGTATCGCAAGACTGACGGATGCCATTTAATTACTGGTTTATATGTAAATACACTTATATTTTCCCCCTTACAACATTAGGGGTTCATCTACGCGTGAGTCATGTCATCAAATTCAATACATGTTTTGCATCCAAAATTTACTCTTCATGTATAACGCTTAAGTATTTCTTCAGAGAGGTGAAACGGGTGGGTTTTTCTCGTCAGAATTTATCTTATACATTTATAAATTTACCATTCGTCTGAACATTGAATATTGCTGCCAGATTTAGTTTGGTGTTGTTTCTGTTTTATGTCCAGAAATGCTTTACAAAATCTAAAGAAGAATCGGCAACGTTATCGGTCCTGATCTGGCATCTCGGCTTCAGTCACTTTCTCATCACCGTAGCTTTCCTATGGCTTTTCTATAAATATTTTCACGGTAACTGTTCTGATAAGCTTTCCTCTTTAGTACCTCGAATTCACAAATTTAAGCGCAGTACTAGATTGGCAGTTAGGTCTCATAAATTCATTGTTGGAATTGCTTGTAACCGTAAGTACTATTTTAATAGTTTATTTTCGCTTGTGGAACTCTCTTCCTGCATTCTTTTCAGGTACCATATTCAAAAAAATTTCAATGCAATGTCAATCGCCATCTGTCATTCTGAAACCTGTTTTTATTGTCCTTTCTTTTTCTTTCTCTCTCAGTTACCCCCTTGCGTTTTAGTGGCTTTTATCGCAATGCTAAGGGTGAAATTATTTAAAAAAATGGAATTTTGCGCAGGTAATTTAAATTTTGAATTTCTAGGCAGCAGAGAAATATTTCCTATTTGGCGTAACGAAATTGCCTACCTTATCGCTATTCCGTTTGGCATTGTCCCAAACTTAGTAAATATGAAGACATTATCTTCGTCTCAAAACCAACACTTTAACCCATTAATGGCCACCAGTATTAATTATAAAAAAAATAAAAACTTGGTATTATTTATAGGTTTCCAAGAAGATGTCATATTATAGGTTTATATACAATATAAGGGGGGGCACGCATTGAGGAATCGGAGAACCGAGTTCGAATTCCAGTCGAGTTCATTACATTCACTTACGTGCTATTACACTTGGGAATGGTTTGAATCCAACTCTTCTAATCCACCCCGGTTATGGGTTCTATAGCATATTGTAGTAACCGGTCTAGGAGAAGGAAAACTGTATGTAGCCCTGGCGAAGCACATACTATACAGAAAAGGAAAGGATCGTTCGCTTTGACTTGATTATCCCGACTAAGGTCGATAAACAACACTGTATTAATTATTGTTTTTTTTCTAAAGCCCATTAACTGGAACGGTTAGTGTTAATGTGTTTATAACGAAAGACTGAAGTTGTTCTTTGAAGACTGTATACCAGTTGATATTATTACACCAATGAAAATTAGCCTGGTGTCAGTTTAAATTGACGACTTTTCCCAATATTTTTCTTAAAGATTGTATTTTCTTGATTTCAAATGAAAACTCAAATATTTTCCGATATAGTTTCCTGAAAGTTTCTCTTTCCAAAATTATTGTTTATAATTATTATTTATATATCTGAAAAAAAAAAGTGTCAGTCTAAACTGACACCAGTAGGATATCGCTTCAGTCATGCAGTATGCGCCATGTTCCTCATGACTCTCCACAGCTTTCTGTATTTTATACCTCTAAGTCATAGTTAATCCTTTACAACCCTACAACTCATCCATCTGCTTAAAACTTGTCGAACAGCTCTAAGCGAATACGTACAAGAATTGAAGATATGACATGTGCAACTGCTCACATAATTTATTTACTTGCATTCTCTTGCACAGATAAACGTATGCGCATGTGCAACACATCTACTTCCGCTTGAGACACTTCACTCGGAAAGACGACGCGTTGCAAAATACTTCAGTCTTACGCATATTCTTTTAATCTTTATTCATACGCATACCGACAGACGCGTACAAACAGAAGCGTATACATAAACACGAGGAGAAAACTACCTTTTAACCTACATACGCTCAAAAGCAAATTCAATCGCCTTTAATCTATCGGGAAGAGAAAAACAAGATTGTCGTATTCTGAATTGAAATTAGATGAAATAAAAACGGACAAACGAAGTGAACATTGAGAAAAATATTTCTGTTCAAAGAGAAGAATATGGAAAATAAACAAATTTAGCGATGAACTTGTAGTTAAGTTTAGTCTGAGGAGAAAATTTAGTTAGAGTGAAGCGAAGAAGGAGACAGATAGATAGAGAGAGAGATAGAGAGAGAGAGGTGGGAAATATTGATGGAAGGAAGAAAAACGAAGAAAGTGATGGAAATTCAATTAAAAAGAGTAGAAAGCTAAAAGAAACTAATGAAAGATGATTAAAAAGGAAGGAAGACAGAAAAAGGTTGAAGGAGGAAACAGAAGAAAAATGTAAGAATTATGAATGAAATAAACGATAACGGATATCACAGAGGAAGGAAAAAGAGAAGAAAGAGGGCGAATGAAAAGAATGGGAAGAAATTTAGCGAGAAAAAAAACGACGGAGTAAAATTAGATAAAAAGGAGGAAAAATGAAACTGGGGTAGATAAGTAAAAGAAAAGAATGAAGTGAAAAAAGATGGAATGGTCCTTCTAAAAAGAATAGAAAGAAAAGCGGAATCTAAATGAAAGAAAGAAAAATTAAATTTAGTGACAAATGAATGAAAGAGAAATGAAAAGAAAAAGAAACGGAGGAATTAACGAAGAAAACGAGGAAAATGAAAGAGAGGAAAACGTTGGAAAATATATGGAAATGTGCGAAAAGAGACTGAAAAATGGGAAAGGAAAGAAAAAAGATTATATAATTTAATCATTGAGAACGAAGAGATAGATAAACAAGAAAGAAAAAAAGGAAAACAAAATAAAAAAATGGTACGAAAATAAAAAGAGAATAAAAGGTGGACAATAAGAATGAATAGAGAGGAGGAAAGTCATCGAGTTATTCTGAATAGGAATGAAGATGAAAAGGCTTAAAAATGTAAGAATGAAATGTAAACAAAAAAAAAATGGTGGAAGAATAGTGAAAACAAAAGAGGGAAAATATAGTGCGTTACAAAAAAGAAAGAAAGAAAGAAAACGAATAAGGACGAAAGAAATAGAAAGAAAAAAGAAAGAAAAATAGAAAATAATGAAGGAATCTGTTGAATGAAAGCTCAAGGCCGACAGATGCGCATGCGCACATAAAGTACTCTGATAGAAGGAAAGAAGAATTGAACATTGTGGAGGAGCGTAAGTCTCATAGCATGTCAGAAGGAAAATAAAATAAAAAAGACACACAGGGTGAAACAGAAAGATATATAAACTCTATTGATAGAGATAAAAATAGAGAGATAGAGAAAAAAGAGAGACCGTATGAATCTTAAATATAAAGGGAGAAAACGAGAGTAGTTAAGTTTAGTCTGAGGAGAAAATTTAGTTAGAATGAAGAGACGGAGATAGATAGATAGATAGATAGATAGATAGATAGATAGATAGAGAGAGGGAGAGAGAGAGAAAGAGAGGGAGAGAGAGAGGGGTGAATGTAGAAGGAAAGGAGAAAGAAAGAAGAAAAGGATGGAAATTAAATTTAATGAGTTGAATGCTGAAAGAAACTAATGGAAAATGGTTAAAAGGGAAGGAAGAAAGAAAACGTTTAAGAAATGAAAAGAGAAAAAGAGAGAAGTATGAATTTTAAATATAAAGAGAAAGGGAGAAAATGGGCAAAGAATATTAAAAAAAGAAAAAACAAAAAGTGTAACAGCAAGACATTGAGCTAAACACGGAAAGAATGAGAGAAGATAATGAAAGAAAAAGTTAAAAAAAAAGCAATAAAAAATGTAAGCGTAAAAAATAACGAGCAGCTATTTAGATAAAAATTTAATTGAATTCATTTCACTTCGATTGAATTCAATTTCGCACAAATAAATTCTGAAATAGAAGACATCCTGGGACAGAGAGGAACCGACGATATTCCCGCGGCAAGAATTATTGGTGAGTTTTGTATTTCGTAATTCGTCTATCAGACTGGATTAATTGGGGTTCTATTAGGAGAAATACAAGAAAATATTTGCCGACTTTACAAACAAAGATGGCGAACAGACAAGATCAGTGAGAGACGTATGATTTGACTGAGGTTAAACATAATTTAAAATGTTTTGATATCATAAGACGTTTATTTTTACACACACACGCATATATATGCAAACCTTGCTACATATTCTCTCACCTATCTATCTATCTATCTATCTATCTATCTATCTATCTATGTATTCTAAATATGTCAATCGATAGGAAACTGGGTACGAAAATATGCAGACATGAAAAATTTCGAGAGATGTACAACAGGAAAAATTTCGCATGAAAACATGGAATTTGGCTTAGCCTTTGTGGCCAAGTCGGTAAGGCGTACCGGGCTAAAAAATGGCAGCTAAATTTGCATAGAGCGCACTTTTTCTTTAATAGGATTTCTTGAACATTCAGGCCTGTAGACGAAAATAAATGTACTCTTTAATAGATTTATTGGAGCGCCTCTACAAATATGAATAACCACTAAAAATAACGTTTAATGTGATATATGTGTGTATGTATGTGTGTGTGTATTTATGTGAGTGTGTGTGTATGGTCACGTATATATTTAATCTCACATACATACACATATATAGAGTCTCACAATCACTACCTATCTACATTTACATGCATACACGTGCATATATATATATATATATATATATATATATATATGATAAAATATAATTTTAAAATATGCTATATTTATAGGTTAACGTGTTAGTGATAGAGCGTATGTAAATATGAAAGTGGACATTGAAGTCCACACCCAAAGCTATCAATCTATTTCATGCTTGAACGCAATCGTCAGGCATTATATACAGTCTCACATATATATTTAATCTCACGCAGACACACAATCTTACAATCACTTTATTTCTCGTTCTCTCTTAAAGATACATACATACATAAATTTATATATATATATATATATATATATATATATATATATATATATATATGTGTGTGTGTGTGTGTATATATATATAAAGATGAATGCATCTATATATATATATATGAAGAAATATAGTCTCAAGGTATGCTATACTTATGGGATAAAGTGCTCAATATCAGAGATAGAGCTTGTGTAAATATAAATATAAAATTGAACGTTGAAGTCAACACTTAGAAGCGACAGGCTGTTTCATGCTAGACGCAATCGTAAGGCCACGTGGCCTGACGATTGCATATAGCATGAAACAGACTGTCGCCTCTAAGTGTTGACTTCTATGTTCAATTTTATATATATATGCATTTATATATGTATTTTCTAAAATATAAATCTGTATGTTTTTGTCGTGAGTAAGTTATTGTAGTTTGATGTCTGTTTGTACTAAAATCAGTGCATTGCCTTGGACACTTGATTTCATGGCTAATACGTCAATTATATTGTTGTCTAATTATAAATTATTTTGAAAAAATGCCGTATGTGATTTTGTCTTGTATATCAAGATATATAAAATTATAAATTCGTATATACTATCCAATTAGCGTCTGCAGCTGTTATTGTCCGATTGCCACAACCTGATTTTAGAATAATAACGCAACAGAACTTCCAGATCCGCGTTTTAAGATATTTAACTGTTCTGTCCTTCGATTGTTTGAGTCAATTAAAACCTTCTTCGTCTTCTGTAGTCTCTATTTTTGTCGGTGTTCATCACAATTACTTTTTGGTTTCGTCTATATTGTACATTTGCTTAGGACAAGGTTTCATCTAATACAGAATCTGAAAGTTCTTAAAAAAATGTACGGCGTCCTGTTTTGTTTGATGACTTTTTTCTCCATTCTCCTTTTTTTTCTACATGCCTTTTCTTTGATTATTTTGAGTCTGTTGATATCACCGTTTTATTCGTTGACGCAATAATCCCCCAGAAATGAAATAGCATCGCTGTAAAACAGATATTAGTCACAGCAGAGTGTGAAGGACAAAATGAAGACAAAGCACGAATTTCCAAAAGGGAGACGTTTCTGTAATGAAAGTTACTTATGCACTTAAGAGGTACACTAGCGAAAACATATTTTGGCATTGAACGTGTTAAGCCGATTTACGTTCTAGCTTACGTTTTTCACGACCCAACTTGGCGTTGATCCTCTCACAGCTCTACTTGACAAGTCAACATATTTTCTTCTCCGTCGCCGAAAATATTTCATTCCTTATTTGATCCCTTTCAGTATTCTTCATAGATTTGATACTACTGTGTACATTAAAAGTGGACATATGGGTTGTGGATAGAGGCAGTATATGTCTGGCATGATGTACCTTCAGTTGGACTGGCAACACTGGTGTTCAACCATCTCCTGAAACTCCCACGTGATGGCTCCCAGTTGTCATGAACCCGGTAAACCTTTTCCGCTGGCGTGAGGTTTGATGTTAACACGCCACAACTGGCCTTCCTGACGTAGATCTAAGTTTTTACATCTATCTCTCTTCATCTCTGGGTTAATTAGTAATACTTGTATCACTAAAACCATTATTGTAAAAAAAAAAGTAAAATAAAACTGAGTACAAAATATTTAGATTTTGGCATTAAATAAATCACCCAACCAACCAATGTTAGTATGTATGTATGTATGTATGTATGTATGTATGTATGTATGTATGTATGTGTCTATTGATATCAGTCTGTTTATATCTATCTATATATGTCACTCATTCTCTTTATCTATCTATCTATCTATCTATCTATCTATCTATCTATCTATCTATCTATCTATCTATCTATCCAACACAACCTATTTATATTAAAATTCCCAACAATACCTATTTATAGTAAAATGACCAATAATTCAATTTTAAAGCAAAATGACCTGCGATAAATTTTATCTGTAGTTGAAGCCATAAAATTTCGTTCAAAATATTTACATTTCGGCATTAAACAATCCATACAGATACGTCGCGAAACAAATAAATCAACCAACCAACCAACCAACCAACCAACCAACCGACAATTTATGTATTTATCTCTTTTAGTCAAGTTACATCTCTCTACTTCACACAATTCACATCTATCTATCTATCTATCTATCTATCTATCTATCTATCTATGTGGCTTCACTGCCTTGCATAAGGTGATATGATTAAAAAAATGTCCGCCATTTTAAACCTTCCTCTTCAGAATGCTCCACGGGTTTATTATTATTTTAAGTGAAGCGAACAAATCGGCTACTTCAAAAATCGAATGACTGAAACCAATTTTATTCATTAGTTTTTTCTGCGTGTATGATAAAGTGTTATCGTTCATAAAAAAAAAAAAACATCTTTCTCAAAGTGTTTGGCTTCTTTGTCTTCTTCTTTGGCTTCTTCTAGAACCATATTGCTGATAAAAAAAATTAGCTTTTTTCATAAGATTTTCTTGCTGGATATCTTTTAAAGGAAGTTCAGTTATCGACATGACTAATATGATTAATTTATGAATGATTTAAAAGTTGAAATCTTGTGCTTTTTCTTGTTGCTACAACGTCTAAAAATTTTATAACTTGACAATGAAGGACATTTTTAATAACTCTTCTCTCAGCATGGGATACAAATCGGCGTGATAAAATTCTCAACTTTCTCTTATCTGACCTGCACGCGAATTGTCCGGGATCTTCAACAGTATTATCCACATTTCAGTGGAACCTGCTGATAATTTTTGCAATTTCCCGCCTTTTGCAAGCGCTGGGGTTAGTAAACATTCCTCTTCATTCGTCAAAATCATCCCCACGACCCATTTGATGTTTATTTATATATGCGCCAAACTAACCGACTTTCATCCTAACTGCGCAGATATACATTGCCATCGTTAAGCAAACAGGAATTTGAATTCCAAAAAGTATTTTTATATATATATATATATATATATATTGTCTTTTTTTTACAGTGATGGTCATTCTGTACAAGGCCCGAGAGACGCTCGAGGTAGTGGGTTACAGAGTAAGAAACACAGTTTATGCGGATATGTGGGGGAAATAACGGTTAACCTTTGACTTGAACAGGTTAAGATTTTAGTGATTGGGAAAACATCCCCTTGGGAATCGGTTCAACAGGGTTTATATATCTATAAAACATGTGACGCAGTATCTTGCGACTTACTTACGGGTGCGTCATAATTCTTGTGCCTAGTTATAACTTCATAATACATATGGTTACGCCCCCGAACCACCCACAGGGTAATGTAAAAATGGAGCGATTTCATAGGACCTTAGGAGACATATTGGCCAACTTGGCGAAAGATAATACTGAAAAGTGGGATTTGTATTTAACACAGGCCAAAAACTAGATGCTGGAGTAGAAAAGAAAAGTGAGAAAAGCGACTTCCTGTCCTTTGTAGCACTTTACCGATAGGCCACGAAGGACATTAAGCAAGGCTCTTTTCCTATTATTTAAGGAAAGCATATCCACTTTACTCAGCTACATCAGGCCAGATCAACCGGTGGTTTCCCCTACAAAGGGGGACGCAGGCTTTATCCCTGCCGGAGGAGGCATTTTCTTTACTTTGATTTCTTGAATGAGCAGGCTGATAGTCATAACACTTACTGTTTAATAAATAAACATAGGCGGTCTATTTCAATTATTAGTTTGAACTAATAAAAGTGTCGTATTCTTATACCAGGCCAGTAGACGCAATTCACACTATTTAAACACACACACACACACACACACACATATATATATACATATATATATATATAATTATTTATTTAAAAGTATGATTCCAACACGCTACATAAGAGGTCTCATGTTTATATATATATATATATATATATATATATATATAAAAGTAATAGAATTTTCGAAAATCATTTGACGAATCATTATAGTAAATCATCGAATCCTCAACAGAATGCAGAAAGCATTGGACGGCCGTTTTGTTCTATTTTGGGACTCATCAGGAGTGCGCATCCATTACCGAAATTCGAACCCAGGCCGTTACGATACAACGCAGGCGTCATACCAACTGGCCTTGATGACACAGGAGAAACTGAACAGACTCGATATAGCCCCGCTACTCACAACTCAAGTCTATTGAGTGTCTTCTTCGTCACGGAGACCCGTTGGTACATTGGTATGATGCTTGTGTTGTAACGGTCCGGCTTCGAATCTCAGTAGTGGATGCACACTGCTGACGAGTCCCAAAATAGGACGAAACGGCCGTTCAGTGCTTTCTGCATTCTATTGAGGATTCTTCTAGACTCGATGAATTACTATATATATATATATATATATATATATATATATAAGAAAAAAACGGCTAGAAACCTCTCCAAGATGCATTAACTTATTTTCCCCTCCGGTTACATTTACGGTTAATCGGAGTGGAGAATTTCTGAAAGAACTATTCGGAATTGAAAATTATTTCTGGTTATTGAGTTGGCGAATTGCGTCTTCTGTGCCCAACATTGTAGATGTCTTCTCAGTATTTTCCGAGAGAGTCGATCATGTTTCATTACTTCGAATTTTTCGCCATGTTTTCTTTTCTCTTTTGATTAGACAACGATTGCTTGGCGGCTAAGATGTTGACATCATTCATTCTTTCAGCAAATGTTTTATTTTCTAAGTTATATCTATTTCCTTTGTTCAGCTAACGTATAACGAATATCACGGCTTACGGCCATAATACATTGAAACACCGGATCTCGTATGTTCACTGAAATTAAGCAACGTCGAGCCTAATCAATATCTACATGGGTGACCATTTGGGAATACCAGGTACTGTAAGCTTAGATGTGTGGGTGGTATAATGGATAACGGCTCAGAATTGGAAATCGGAGAGACGTGTTCGAATACATTTGGGAAAGGTATGTATCCACCTCTCCTAGCTATGGGTTAATATTATCTCAGAAATTTTTTCCCTTGACCCGTAGGGTCGTAGGGGCACCATGTGTACTTCAGCCACAGTAGAAGTGGTTTTTCTTGGGCAAGATAGACTGACAGAGCCCAACCCTCTCCAGGCCGGTTTTGAATTCAGAGTTTTTCCTTCTTCTAGACCGGTTGCCACCCAAGGCTATAGAACCCCGTCTGTCTACCTATTTACCCATAGTGAATGTGATGAAAAAATTAATACAATTTAAAAAAAAATTATGGCTTTAAATAACCTGAAAAAAGATTGATAAGCCGTAAAAAACAAATCAATCAATAAATCAATATTAGTATTCTTGCTGTTTGGATGCTCCTGGCTCTTTTTCTGATTACCAGTTCCTTCGAAACTTTTTTTTCGAAATATTCGGCGTTCAATAGCAATCGATCTGACCGTCATCTTCATCTACCAAAGATTTATCAGCAGATTCCTTCGAAGTTTCTCATTTTTCTCCAGTTACTCTCTAAATGTATTATCTCGAAAATTCATTTCTTGGAATTTATCATTACTAAATTATTTAATTAACCTGCAAAAGGCTGATAAACCGTAAAAATCTGTCGCAGTCACAATCACTAAAATAACTATCATGTTATATACAATTTATTACATACGCATATAACTTAAAAAAAATTTGAACCAGAAAAAAAAAAATATATATATATAATGTATAGATGTCCCAAAATAAATGACATCATTAAAAATGTGGGTATCTGAGTAGCTATATGTCCCAGGCAAACGAAATTAAGCCTTTATGTTGAACAAAAATGATTTATTTATCATGATTTGAACAAGAGATTCAAAGGGATGTACATTTTATAACCGATTTCACAAAGCTTCACAAATGTTCAATATGCGCCCCTCCTGTGACACAACACACATCAAGTCGATAGTCCAACTCCTGCCAAACACGATGTAGCATGTCTTGTGCAACATTCTCCAACGTCTCAGTAATTATCTGCTTAAGCTCCTCTAGGCTGACAGGAAGAGGGGGATATAGACCAGTCCTTTCACATAGCTCCAGAGAAAAAAATCACAAGGTGATAAGCCAGGTGAACATGCTGGCCATTTCAGTAGGACATTGTCATTATCACTAGCACTGGTAGATTCTCATTGAGATAATTTCGCACCGAGGCGCTGGAGGAAAACTGCTCAACAATGCCTGTCAAATGAATTAGGAAATAATCTTATCTCTTACTAGGGATGTTAAATGAGAAATAACTTCTCTTACATGTTGGATGTACGATTAAGGCGAGAGTTATGAAAACAAGTCCTGTCATCGACGAGCAAGAGGATAGGTCTAGATTGTATTTTCGCTTGGGTAAAGATAATTCCAGGGATATAGAAAAGAATCGGAGAATAAAATTAATGACTCCGCCCTTTCGCCTAAGCGCTTTAAAAATTAGATTTGTCACGAAGACAGTTATGCCTGTCCTGGGAAGTAGGTTGAGGTTGAATGCTGAGAGAGAAAAAGGAAGAAGGAGAATTTAGTACCACCTGTATGTAGTGATGGTACGAGATGGAAAGCGAAGTTGGAGTTGAGGGGGAAGGGCCGCGACTACTGACGTGGAAGGTAGATAAATGTAAAAATAGGGGAATCACTGAAACTCCAGAAGTGGTCCGAATTGTTAGACATTTTCATGACGGTCGTCCTCGAGTATAGAATCCAGAGGTTGGCAGTGAATATTTCGGAGACAGTAGAAAAGCGTAGTGGAGGTTCGCAGTAGATATCACAACAGAGTGTAGTTCATCCTTCTCCTGGTCGCCTTTGGTCCTTCCGGTAGACGAAACAAGATGGCCGCCTTTATACACGACGAATACAGTGTTGTACGGCTTCTGATTGGTCAACCTTCTATTGGTCGACTATAAAGTGAAACAAGTCATTCTGACTCGCTCACTAGTTACATACGGTATATACACAAAAAACCGTAACACGAATTGCATGTAATCAGATACCTTTGAAGGCCCGAGGACTTGTGCGTCAAATTCCCGCATCAAGTATCTCAGGAATCCATGTCACCTGCCGCCAGATCTCCTGACTCTGAAGAACTTTGAGCCCAGCTCCTCTAGGATTTTAGATGAGGCCTAGTGTCACTATAGAGATTGATGCGGAAAGGGTTAATTTTTGTTGTACCAAGAAGTATATAAACGAACTGAAGGTTAACCCAACGAATCTTTCGTTTTATTTTTCTTAATATAGCTTCCGTCACGGCTCGACCCGCGCTTCGATTATTATGACATTCGATCTTTCACTGCTCTAAGATCAAGACCACATCATGGGTAGAGTTGGTGTGCATCAAACAGCCAGAGCATGGTTAAAATGTGGTTAAAATATCGTCCTAAGTCACCGGACCGCTAGATGTGGTTACACCATCGGATGTAGGCAGTGGTTTAGAGGGTTTATATTAATTGGTGCCATGACCAGCATTTGACCCATCTGAAAAGAAATTGCCCCATTAAAAATAAAGAGAAAAAACCTCAGAAGAAATACCCTGAGGTTCCGTAAAGTAATAGCAGACAGTCGATAACTCCGTTCTATATAGAGGGCGAGAGTTTTTGTTGCCCGCACCCATGTCAAGAAGTGGGTGGATGACGGAGGAAGAAAATAGGAGAAGGTCGGGTGGACGCCACTCCAGGAAGAATAAGGCTAGAGTATTTTCCTTGTCGACTCAGGATGGGGAGCTCACCTGTGAAGTGGTAGTTAAAAGAAAGGTGATGAGTGCACTGATAGAGACGGGGGCGTGTATCCAGTATCATTGATTAAGGCGGAAGTTGAGGTTGCAGGAATGTTTGAGAAGGTCTGAAATTACGATTACCCAGACGGGCGGAAGAGAGATGACAATAATGGGAATGGTGTGACTCCTCATAATTGTAGGAGAGACAAATAGTGTGCACAAGTTATATTTGGCCCCGGGTCTCTGTGGAGAAGAAATGATATTGGGTGTGAGCTGGCTTGGCCAACATTGGGCCTAACTAAAACTCAACTCCGAGGTATTGCTGGTTGGTAGAGTGGAGATACCATTGAAAAGCGTTCCTAGTGAAGCAGTGTCGGTAGTGACAAAATTTCCTCTTAGGACGGCAGTGTCTGGTAGAGGTAGGTTGGTAACAAAGAGGAAAGTATTTTTTTCAGAGTGCAGCTGTTGAGAAATACAGTCCTCAAGAGGAGGAAGTAGTTTTGTGTGAGGCAGTAGTAGAAGGGGCAGAGATTGTACCTATTTATGAGGCAAACTGTGAGAATATGAAAGGGAGAAGAGGTAGGAAAGGCCCTATTAATAAGGTCCATAAAGCGTGTAAAATATGATGAACAGAGAAAGAGGGGGAGGGAAATTGAGTGGGGAAGTGAGAGGATAGTTAATAGTCCCAGAGAAATTTAAGGCCAGAGTAGGTCGACTGCTAAGAGCTTCCGAGTATGTAATGCATGAAGAGATGCCATATTACCTTTCGCGTAGGGATGAAGAAATAAGGCTCAGACTGTTCGTGCCTACTGAGCTAAGAGTCGAAATGTTAGATGTTGTAACCTAGGGATGGTTACTGAATAGAATAATCACACGAAGGTTTGTAATGAACGATAATACTTAGGGCAAGAACAACACATATAAGATTCGCCAGCGGCGCGTAGAAGAAATAGTCAACTGCTAGAAGTGAGTCAAGTGAATTCCACAATGAATCTCCAACTGCAGGATATCTACTAACCGCTCAACGCGGTCAGATGTGGCACGAGGCCGAATTTAATGTGGGGTATCCGAGCCCGTAGGCTCGGCCCAAAATTCCCCGCAGACCCTGTATAAAACGGGGTCGAGTAGCTGTTTCCCGAGATGAAACTCTGCCCTTCGACAGAGCCTCGTTTGGGGATCCTCTCCGCCCGGAGGCAGAGAGTTTGACTAGCACAGCTGGAGACGAATCTCTGCAGACCAACATACAGTATTTACTACTGTATGTGAATGGAGACAAACCCATTATCGTCCGTAGGTATGCAGCAACATTAGAACAATGTCATGAGAAGATGGGCCACAAGGGAATTGATAAGACCTAATAAGTAGAAATTATTATTGGCTAAGGTTGTAGAATGAAGTTATAAGCTATGTGCAAGTTTGTGTGATATGTCAAAGCCAGAGCAGGAGACATGAGACAGCTTCATTGATGGAGACAGATATCCGTAAATATCCTTTTGAAAAAGTAAGCATGGGTGTATCGGGCACGTATGGAGTGACCGCAAGAGGAAATATATACATAGTGAGCTTTGTACATTGGCTAACGAATTGGCCTGAGACATATGCGATACTTGATAATAAAGCTGTAACAGTGTCTGATTTAATACTGACAGAGATATTTCCTCGATATGGAGCCACAGTGCGTAAGATAATGACCGAGGCCTTAGCAAGCACGAATACAATACGTCCATGATTACGTCCACGAACCACCCACAGGGTAATGCAAAAGTGGGGCGATTTCATAGGACCTTAGGAGACATATTGGCCAACTTGGCGAAAGATGATACTGAAAAGTGGGATTTGTATTTAACAGAGGCCAATACGGCAGTGAGATTCTCTGTTCATGTAATCTCTAGGTTATCGCCATATTATGTGCTGTTCAGACGTGATGTCTTTTCTTGCCAGTAGATAACCTATATAAGCTTCCTACGAAGCTTTAATAGGTTATCTACTGGAGAAAGCCATCAAAAGCTAACAATAGAACAGCAACATGATATATTCACGCAGACAAGGAGGAGGATTAGACAGGCACAAAAGAAGAGAAATTGGAGGATGTATAAAGGAAGAAGCGAGATAGAGTTATCTTGCATCCTTAAAGAGGTTACAAACAGACAAAGATGGTACTCGAGTGAAGGAACAACAACACGCGCGTAG